TGATCTCGCTATCTCTCTCTCTCTGTCAAATAAATAAATAAAATCTTTAAAAAAAAAAAAAGACTCATTCTGAAATGAAAGAAAAGAATGAGCTGGCATCATCTGCCAGCATGCTTTTTATGTATTAGAATTTTTGGAAAATCAGCATTAGCAGTAACTTTGAAATGAAGCCTCCTCTACCTTTGAGAGCGTCTTAGGCTCCTGCAGTATTCACATGGTAAATTTTAAAATTCTAAAATGTAGAGACAGAATCAAGAGCATTTGAAATTGGAGGAGGCTGCTGTGTTTGGAGATGTGGGCTGGGGCCTCCAGGTCTACCCAGGACATCTCTGGACCTCCTGTCACCCCGCTGGTCTTGGTTAGCTGTTCTCAGGCTGTGCTGGTCCCCAGGGCGGGGCCTTTCTCGTTAGGTTTCCTCCTGTTTTCACATGGCTGGTTCCTTCACACCATGCAAATACCAGGTCAAATATTCCACCCGGGCACCCCCTCTGTCCTGACATTGTTTGAGGTGCTCCTAACATTCGGCTCTGCTGGAATTATCTGTCCCATTGACCTGTTCATTTTGTCTCCGCACCAGTGTTTAAACTCTGAGAGGCAGAAAAGATTCCTGCTTGCTTAACACCTGATACCCCCACTCCTAGGCAGTGTGGGCACCTAGCGGGTCCTCTGAAGACTTGTCACACGAATTAATAAATCAGTGTAACTGGGGGTAATCAAGAAGTCCTTTTTTTCTTAGCCTTCATTTCAACTCTTATTTCTTCCCTTTGACTGCTTTACCACTTGCCAAATGACTGTCTTAGGGATACCAAAAATGTGATACAAATGTGGCTGTGAACTAAAGTTAATTTTGAGGGGTGCCTGGGTGGCTCAGTCGTTAGGTGTCTGCCTTTGGCTCAGGTCATGATTCCAGGGTCCTGGGATCGAGCCCCGCACCCAGCTACCTGCTTAGCGGGAAGCCTGCTTCTCCCTCTCCCACTCCCCCTGCTTGTGTTCCCTCTCTTCACTGTGTCTCTCTGTTAAATAAATAAATAAATAATCTTTAAAATAAAAACAAAATGAATTTTGAGATAATCATAGATTCCTATCAGGCAGTAGAAAGAGATAATAGAGATCTTGTGTATATCTTGCCCATGTCCCCAGGGCTAACGTTACGGGATGCCATAGGGCAGCCTCACAGTCAGGAGACTGGTGTTGATGCGGTCAAGGCCCAGAGCATTTCCAGCAGTTTGCTAGCTTTTTCTCAAGGTGACATCGAGATGATGTTGAGGGCATTAACAGAGGCTTTCACTCTTCCCTGAATGATGACAACCCTGAGATTTAATGAGACTTAATGAACAATTGGTTGGTTGGTTTTTAGATACAAACAAACAAAAAACCCCAAAACAACAACAAAACCAAATGCATTTCTCTGAAATGTAGTTACCATCTGCAAATAATTTTGGCCCCACGACTCAAAAATGGTATTTTAATGAGGTCATGCCGTGTTATTCTCTATTAGGTAATTTCCATCTGAAATCTGAAAGCATGAATTAAGGTATTAGAAGTAGGAGTATGGAGAAGGGAAGAAACATCCTTTCTTTCCCGGGTGCCCCTGGCACATTCGCTGCTCTCGGGCACGTCAGGTGGGGCCGTGCTTGATGCTCCTTCCTCTTCTTTCTCCCTTCTCGGCCCGCAGCCAGGCGGACCGCCCCCGGCCCCGCTGGAGCTCAGCCACGCACTGGCCTCCAGCCTGGGCCATCTGTCGCGGCTGTCGCACGTTCCCCAGAGACATGAGTGCTGTCGGGCTTGGGGGGCGGTCCGCCCGGAGGAGGGCCTGGCATCCTAGAGCTGGCAGCAAGACCTGCCGACTGCCACCCCCAAGCTTGCCTGCCCTCGGAGAATTGACGGCAGAAGTTGCCACTAGGTGGCAGAATGAGACTGTGTTAATCTTGACCTCTTCCGCTTCCTTCCACTACTTTCTCTAGGTATCCTGAAGACTAGCAATGCCTTACTTTGAAAAAGCGGTTTCCGAATATCTGACCTTGGAATTACGGATTTAAGAACTTCCTTTTGACTTGTCCATTTCTGTCTGTGTTCACCACCAGCCCATCCTGAATCGGTGGTGACCTCACGGCCCCTTACCCTGTTTTGTGAGTTCTCCCTTTGCAAATGCCTCATTCTGCTTCCCCTCGTGATATCGTGGCATTTCCGCCCGACCAGGACGCAGGCTCCATCTTCTGACTAGTGTCCTGATGCATCTCCAGGTCCTGCAGCGAAGTTGCACATTTGCTGAATGAATGGGCCTTGTCGCTCTTCTCTTGTCTTCTAGCCTTCCATTCTGTCTTACTAATCATCCTTTTGTCAAATTCTCTTCAGGGAATCTCCATTTCTGGAAGTATGAAGGTCAAACTTTGCAGATGATGCCCTTCACAGTTGGCCCACAACCTGCCTGCCTTGTTGTCTCTTATTTCTGAGCATGAGTCCTCCAATGAGATCTGTTTACTGTCCTTTGAATAGGCCCTGACTTTTCTTGTGTGTATGTTCAGCAGTTTTTTCTGTTCAGACCAATGTCTTCCTGGCTGATCCTTTCTTCTACATGGTTAGATTCTACCTCCACTAAGAAACTCACCAATAACCTATTCTCTACCCCTCTAAATTCCTGTGACAACTGTGCATTTCATTCATGAATCATTCATGCACGATTATCTTGCATTTCATTCAATCAGCATGTATTAAAGGGTACCTACTACGCACCAGACACTGCTCTGGATGCAGGGGATGCTCACTGAACAAACGGACAAAAATTCCTCCCTCATGATGAGAAAAACAATAAATAAGAGATGTAAGTGAAAATACAGAGTAGGTAAATACAGATGGTGAGAAGTACCAAGGAGAAAAAGCATAGGAACAGTTGGGAGTTTGGAGCAGAGGTAAAGAAGACTTCCCTGAGAAGGTTGCATCTGGATAAAGAAGCAACTGAGGCAGATCTGGAGCCTGGAGAGTATCTGAAAGAAGAACATTCCAGGTAGAAGAAATAGCAAGTGAAGCCCCCTTGAGATGGGACTGGGCCCAGTATGTTCCAAGAACACTGAGGAGTCGAGTGAACGAGCAGAAGAGCAGCACGGGATGAGGTCAGCAAGGCAATGGGAGGCTGTCGCTGGAGTCTGGGGTGGGGGTGGGGTGGGGGGGCAGAACTGTGGCGGGAAAGCCAGCGGAGACTGCTAGGCTGAGGAGGGGCAGGGCCTGGCTGACACTCTTGCTCTCTGATGGTCTTTCTGGCTGCTGAGGTGAGAACAGGCTCCATGGAAGCACAAGGCAGCGAGTACTTCTGCAGTAAGTGAGGTGGGAGGTGATGGAACAGGGTGAGCCGTAGTTGAATTTAGGATGGTTTGAAAGACAGACTTGAAGACTTTGCTGGTGGCTCAGAGAGGAGATGGGAGAGAAAGAGGAGTGTCAAGGGGGTAGATCTAGATCTGCCCCTCCTGGACAGGCGGGTTTCGCTGCATTAAACCTCAACTTCAGAATCTCCATGCTTTAGGACAACAGTTTATTTCCCACATGACATACCCAATGTGTTGGCCATGGCTTCATTCCACAGTGTCTGTCATCCACATCCGCCCGGGCTGACGGAGCAGCCTCCGCCTGGAGGTTGCCAGTCACTGTGGCCATGGGCAGAAGGCCAGGGCACACTGTTTCTAGAAGCTTCCATCCAGAATGACCCATTTCACTCCTGCTTCTGGTTCCTTGCTCAAAGCAAGTCCTACGGCCACGTCTGAGTTCAATAGGGCAGGGGTAATAGGACCCTTGGGGGAGGGCACCAAATATTTGGGACCAATAATCTAGTCTTCCCAGGTGGCACCAGCGGATTGGGCCTGAGCATCTCCAATAACAAAGATGGGAAGATGGGGGGTGCGGAGAGGAGCAGAAGCTCAGTTGGGGCATCAGCTGGAGGCCGAGTGGAGATGTCAAGGAGCAGCAGCTGGGGAAGATTGGCCTAGGGGAGAGTCCCCAGCTCCTGCTGGACTGGATTGGAACTGGGGGTGGGGAGCATAGAGAGAGAGGGCAAGTCTGGCAACCGAGTCCTTAGGCGTTCCAGTATTGGGTTTCTTATGTTCCATGTTTGCTCAGCTGCTGCATCAAATATTTGCTTATCGACTGACAACAAAAATACAGGCATGCCCTAGACTTTCATATGCTCTCCTCTATTGTGGAAAAGTCCTAAGACTGTTTTACTCGTTTAGGTACCACGCATGGGCCGTGGGAAGTTGTGCTTCTCCACGAGCTTCCCGAACGGCTTCCGTTTGTCTCCCCACAGCTGGGCTGTGATCATTGTGGAGTACCGCGGTGGACAGCTGTGTCCTGGGGCCCCTGTGTGTGTCTGGTACTTTCCTCAGGGCCCTCTCGATTGAAGGGAGAGTCTCTAGGCTTCCCTAAATGTGCCCAGTGACTTCCGTTTTCTAAACAGTTGTGTAATTCCTCTTTCCAGGGGTGATGAAGGTGCTGCTTGCTTCAGCGTGAACTTAGGATATTTAGCAACATTGGATTTTATTGGGGGCACTTTTGATTTTATTTTGGTTGGAAACTATGTTAAGTATTTGACACCTGACATTGAATTCCACTGAAGCTTGGATATTGTATTCAATTTTCGCTCCTAAAGATCTTTTCAGATGCCACAAATTCTGGGCTCCCTTTCTAGGATTCCCATATCTATAGATATGGATGTATGCTCACCTAGTGAGGAAATCCAGCTACTCTTTTTTTTTTTTAAGTTTTATTTATTTATGAGAGAGAGTGAGAAAGAGAGAGAGCGTGCACACACAAGCAGGAGTAGCTCCAGAAGGAGAGGGAGAAGGAGACTCCCTGCTGAGCAGGGAGCCCAATGCCAGGCTTGATCGCAGGACCCTGGGATCATGACCTGAGCTGAAGGCAGACGCTTCACCCACTGAGCCACCCAGGTGCCCCAAAATCCACCTGTCTTGAGACCACTTTGCACAGGTGGATGTATTTTAGATGATGATAATGATTTTTAAAGCCATGCAGTTTTTCTGAATATTTATCTTGGTTTTAGAACTTTCACTTTTATGGTAAATATATTTGTATTGACTCTTAACCCTTCTGTTTTCTTGGTTTCTTAATTCAGATGTTTTTCTTAATGCCACTGGTATCATTTCTTTATTGTCTTTGTTGTAGTTTCTTCTTTGTTGATGACGTGATGTATCAGTTATCTCTTGCTGCATAACAAACCACCCCCAAACTTAGTAGTTTTGCTTAAAGCAAAAAAAAAAAAAAAAAAATCCTGTGTTTGCTCATGATTCTGCAATTGGGGCAGGGTGGGAAGGGACGGATGCGTGACTTGTCCTTTGCACTCAGGGCACTCCCCGTCTAGTATGGGAGACTGATAAAAGCCAAGATGGGGTCATACTGGAAGTAGACAGAATTCACACCTTGTTTCCACCTGCTTTTAGTGACTTTCAGGGCGTTCCTATTTGATCCCCTGGGGTCCTCATCATGTGTGTCTCCTCCCACATAGGGGATACTCAACAAAGCACGTTGTAGAAGGTCTGGAACCACGAACACTGTACAAATTCCGACTGAAGGTCACCAGCCCCTCTGGAGAATACGAGTACAGCCCAGTGGTCTCTGTATCTACCACCAGTGAGTATACAACCACTGTCCTCCATTATCTAAAGATAAATGAAGACAACGAGCCATAGAGAGGTAAAAATATCTTGCCTTTTGCTCGGCCTTACTGGAAGCAGAAACTCTCATTTTTTTAGAAAGATTTTATTTATTTTAGAGAGAGAGAGAGAGTGCATGAGTGGGCAGGGGAGGGAGAAACGGGCTCCCTGCTGAGCACAGAGCCTGACCTGGGGCTTGATCCTGGGACCCTGAGATCACAACCTGAGCTGAAGGAAGACGCTTAACCGAGTGAACCGCTCAGTCTCTTCCATTTTTAAAGACTGTGCTAATACTGTTCCCTGGCCAGGCCAGGCCACAGCAGGAGGGAAGTCTGTGCTTTAACAAACGGGCAGAGCTGTTCTGGGGCCAGCACCGCCCTGGGAGTGCACATTCAGGACTAAAAGTACAGATGGGTGGAGTCGCCTTTCTTGGGAAGTGGGCCGGGGCGTGTGGGCTGAGAAACCGTCTGCCTGTTGGGGTGTGCCTCAGGTGACAAGGTCTGCAGAGCATTTTGTCCCTTTTGACCAACCTCAGTTTTATGTCTTGACACACAAATCGGATTCCCAGGGATGCTGTGAGTGAGGAAGAACGAACAGTGTGACTGACACACACACACACAGGCGGGGCAAGGGGCCGGCTGCTTCTGACTTGCGAGTCCTTCTCCCAGGTCCCATCTGAGGGTGCAGATATTTTCTGTGATTGGTATTTTAAAACGTTTCAAAGATGTGTGCATGTCTAGAGTGTGGTAAAGATTAAAATAGTCAGAAATGTCCTTCATGGCCCGCTCGCTGAAAACACTTGTCTTGTTTTCAGTTGCACAACAAAAATCTTCCTCTTGTGAGTAAAAGTGATTTTAAAGTTTTAGTCAATATTGCATATGGCATATGTGGGTGTACACACACATATATAAGTAAAACATAGTTTTCCTTCTGTGGCTTTCAATTGTGTCCTTTATGCATTTATTTGGAGAGTTCTTTTTAGATTTAAATTCAATTATCCAACTTATAGTACATCATTAGTTTCAGATGCAGTGTTCAGTAACTGATCAGTTGCGTAGGACACCCAGTGCTCATCATATCACGTGCCCTCCTTAATGCCCATCACCCAGTTACCCCATCCCCCCCACCTACCTCCCGTCCGGCAACCCTCAGTTTGTTTCCTAGAGTTAAGAGTCTCTCAAGGTTTTTCTTATTTGGAGAGATTTTTATGTGGATTAAAGATGATTGAGGTTTTGAGTTAGCCTATCATCTCTTCGTTTGCAAACAAGGCACTAGGGAGTCGGGTCTTAGTTTGGCAAACTGAGAATTCAGTGACAGCTGAGAGGGGTGGTGTACCTTCCCCAAGGTGCTCCGCTTGCTGCAAAGACCCATAATTTCAGAGGAGACTTTCCAAGTGCAACGGTCAGTTACAGAGACGCAGGTCAGGAAAGAGGGCTTGTCCTTCATGTGGTGACCATGAAAGCATTTCCTTCCTATAGGAGCTCTGGAGCTCTGGAGCTTTTAGGGGAAAGAAAAGGCAGAGCCGCTGAGTGTGAGTTGGTTTCCTCTGTGTTGAGGGCAGGCACAGAGAAGGGAGGAGCAGGGGCAGGAGAAAAGTTGGCAAAGGGGAACCTATTGTTTGAATAGAGACTCTATAGGGGACACTGGGCCAGTGTGCTCCCTCCTGTCCTGCTGTCCCCAGCCAGCCACAGGCCACGCCCGCACTCCTCTGCCTTTGCCCCTTCTCTCTGGAGTGCCCCCTCCTCGGAGCCCCCTTCCTGGTGCCCCCTCGGCTCCTCTGTCTGCTGAGCCACTCGCCAGGCAGAGCTCGCTCAGGGGCGGTTCCTTGTGTTTGCCCCAGTACCCGGCTGGGTATCACCTCCAATAACACCCAGTGCATCTTATTACGTGTATTTTTTCATCTTCGTCTCGTACCGACTTGCGTGCTTCCAAAGTGGAGGATGTGATGAGTCGGTCATGTCTGGTGTAGAAGATAAAGGTAAATGGATGGACAGACGGTGAATGGAAAGGCCCAGAGGCAGAATGAGGATGAGGAGGGAAACACTGATTTTCTCAGCTTGCGCTCCCGTCTGTGGGGAGATGGACGTGCGTCCCAGGGGCTGGGGAGGGTCCCCCTGCACCTGCACGGTGAGGGCGAACAGGATGCAGAACCAGCCACGGTGAGCCTCAGCTTGCCCACTGGCATCTTTCCTCCTGCCATATTCACGCCAGGACAGGGGCTGCGGGACCTTCCGGCCAGAGCTGACGTGTTGGGCGGGGGGCGGGGGGTGTTGCCTACCGTTTGGAGCTCTTCGGGAAGGCAGAAACCATGGTAGCTTTCTATCAGCTGACAAGGATTGTGCTGCCTTCCTGCTGAGCTGGCTTCCGAGAGGGAGCCACGGAGACCTGGTCCAGGGGCCCAGGGCATTTGTGACTGCAGTCCGTGGCTTCCGTGGGTCACTAGGCCAGACCTCCTGCAGGGACCAGGGTGTGATGGAGACGTGGTTCCTGGTGATGACCTGCAAACCGGGCTTCCTGCGAGTTTCATGGTCTGGTCACAGTGCTGTGCTGCAGAAGAGACAGACTCTCAGCCTCAGGGGGCTCTCCCGGGTGGCAAGGGTCCCTCTTCCTGATGGTTGCTGCTCCCTTATGCTATTATTAGATTTATAATATCCAAAGCAGACTCCCTCAAGGAGGTAGATCATGCTAAACAAAGAATTAAAAATAGGCATATTTTCCAAAACAAGTAAAAAATGCTTCTGTGGGTTGATCATTTGCATTCAGTTTGAAAGTGTTTTTAGTGAATCACGAAAGCATGTACTTTGTTTGAATAAAGGATGCTCAGCCTTTTTTTTTTTTTTTTAATTCCAGGTAAAGTACATGAGTCTCTTGCTTAAATGAGGCATGCAATTTTAATCAGTTGGGCCCTTAAAAAGAGACAAGCAGCTGCTGCTTGTTAATTGGCAAATCTCTCCTCCAATGAGCTCATCATTTATTCACTGCTTCTAACAGAGACCTGAATTCCACCCAGAAAGGTGTTAACTGCCACATTATAATATCTGCGGGCACATCTGCCACTAAATGACCCTCTTACAGACCATGGGGATGGCTTTCCCCTCCTCCTGGGTGTCCCCTCCCCTGGCCCTACCTGATGAGTTCCATCCAGTGGGGATGCAAGGGCAGGCACTCACGGACATCCTCCCCACGGGCAGCACCGATTCAGTATTTGTTTGTTGTTGCAACACTCAGGGTAAACATTAGCCAAACAAACCCACAGAGGCAAAGCCTGCCTTTTTTGTATTCAGTTGCACTTGATGGCAGTCCCCTGGGCCAGGCCCACCATGTCTTCGAGGATTCAGGGGTAGGAGGAGTGGAACGTTTGGCTCACCCTGGAATTTCCTCTCTCTGTGACTCCTGCCTATAGTGGGAGGGAGAAAGGACTTCTCTGCTCTGCTCTGCTCTGCTCTGCAAAGAGGAGCCTTTTCATTGTTCCTCTGATTCACATAAACGGAGACCTTTGTGTGCCTTGGTTGATCCATGTCTGGTCTGGTGCTAATCCTCAGTACCTCATTGCCTTCCTGGCAGTGGTCTGAGAGGGGTTAATGAGTTAATGCTGAGAAAGAGCGTTTATGCCCCGAATGATACTTATTGCTTCCTTTTGCAGAAACTCTGCAAACAAGGAATAGATTAACCATTGTGCTGTGTTCCTTCCCTTCCATGAGATGTCCTTTTGTTTTCAGATTAAGTTATGAGGGCACTGATTACCTTTGCAGAAGCTGGAATAGGGCAATGCATTCATTTAAATTATGTCCTACTATCAAAATACCCCGGTCTTTGCTGCACATAGTCCTCAAGCCTCTAAGCACAAAATGAACTTATTTCACTTTCCAATATTTGCAAGCTGCAGAGCTTCCTGGGTAGGATGCGCCAGGAAGCGCCACCCCCCCCCGCCCCACTGGGAGGGCTGGACTGGTTGGGTAAGACAGATGATGTGCATTGGAGGTGGGTCGGCGCAGAAATGGGTGGGGATACTGCGTGTGCCTTTAGAACGTTCTTTAAAATCTTAAGAAATTAGCACTTTTCTGAAGCTTTTAGGCTTTAGTGTCCCCTTTCATTTAACACTTTGTGCAGGGGGATCATATTTGTTTATTTAAGCAGTTTGCTTATTTTCCAAGTGTAATAAGGTTGGAAGCACAGAATGGATTGGTCAGCCACCTCGGCATGTATTAAAACACCCCAGGAAGGAGCGTGGCATCACGAAAGACTCGGTGTGAGCTCTACTCACTCAGCCTTCCCGGCTCTCAGTTTTGTGGTCTGAAGAACCGAAAAAGCATTGTGTCAAGTCCTAGATAGAGCTTAGTTAATAAGACTTGAGTTAGGATGCCATATTTTAAAATTGAGTAGAAATAGGATGAGCTTCCTATGTCCTTCTAGATGATTCTATGCAAATTAGTTGTATTTTTAGTGGCAATTGAAGTTTGAGAGTCACGAGAGGGGGCTGTTTGGTGGGATATACCACCTCTATCCCCCTCTTCCCTCCCTTCTGGGAAGTGAGAAGGGAGGGAAACTTTCCTTGGGTTTAGTTTGTCCACTAAAGTAGGGATGCGTCACCCAATAGATCATTTTAAGTCCATACTATTCTAGCCCAGGGTTTCCCAGGCTTGGCACTTTTGACATTTGAGGGCTGGATAATTCTCATCGTGTATACTGTAGGATGTTTATCAACATCCCTGGCCTCTACCCACTAGACTCCAGTAGCACGAACCCTTAAGGTGTGACAACAAAAAAGTCTCCAGGCTTTACCAAATGTCCCTTAGTGGTGGTGGTGGTGTTGGGGCAGGGGGTATACAAAACCCTGCTCCCTTCCATAGCCCCCCAGTGGAACCACCAGGCTAGGCACGATCTATCCTCGGAAGGCCAGGGAAAGCGGTGGGCCTTGCCCTCTGACAGTTTATCGTGATACTTTTATTTGAAGCTTTTGGTCTAAAAATATGTGTGGAATGATGAAAAGGAAGTACAGTGTGGCTAAAAAATCTTTAGGAGATTGGCAAGCACTAGCAGACAAAATTGTTATTTCAAAAACAGTTTTCCCTTGGCTTAAATTTTTTTTTTTACCAGAAGAAGAAGGGTATCAGCTAGAGGTCATTCTGCTAGTGATCACTACATTCTTCTGTCCCCCGGTTTCCTGGTTTATAATTTGCCCAGCTAAAATCCTCCAAGGAAACAAGTAGAAAAGTGGCTCCAGGGCCCAGGAGTTTTTCCTAGCGTATCTACCTGACCCAGATGGGTACTGAGTTTATAATCCCCAGTTCCAGTCAGCTCCAAGGTCTCGTCCCAGAGAGTTTTTCTACCATAGGTGCAGGAACAGGGAATTTCACTCCCCACCTGGGGGCGCTGGCCAGGGGATCTCTGGAGGCCAGCCTGGAAGAGGGCGGTGAGGGGTAGGTGAGCCCCAGGAAGCAGTCTCGGGGGCAATGTGGGAGGACAGGGTAGGAGATGGGTGTTTTCTTTCAGGGTTTAAGATGATGATAGGTTGGAAGCAGGTGCTACGGTGTAAATGGCAAAGGAGAGGAACATGCTTGATTTGTTCTCCCTGGGACCCTCAGCGTCGAGACTGGGCATGTGAGTTACTCAGTAAACATTTGTTGAATGAATGGAAGAGACCCACTCAGGTAGGTACGCTCAGATCGTGAGGGGCCGGGCCTGGGAACGGTGGGGATAAGGACAGCAACCACTGCCCTTCCCACCACCTCACAGCAGACCCGGGTAGTTAGGACATGCCAGGTGCTCTGCTAAGTGCTTCACGTGTGTTCCATTTACGCTCAATCATTCAAACGATTAGAAACTCACAGAATGTGAAGCAAGCCCTGAAAGACGGGCTTCTCTCACTTGGCACTTTATTGTCACACTCTGCTCCTTTCTGCCCTTCCTGTTCTCCTCCTTGAGGAGCTAAGGTCCCCCCGCCCCCGCACAAAGTGACGCCCTCCCTTCTGCCCCATGTCCCCTTGTTCCTGGAGTACCTTGCAGCTCCTCCTTGGTCTTCTCTGCCTGGCAGGCTCTCCCCATAATCAGGCTTTCTCACGGTGTTCCCCCTCCGTGAATGAGCTCCTCCTGCCCCCCACCCGCCGAAGCTCCGGGAGACAAGGCCAACATGAATGTTATCTTCCTGGGAAGCACTGAAATTTTGGATGTCAAATGTTACAACAATTTATTTTTGTCGTTTGTTCAAGTAGTTTAGTGACTCTCTGGCAAGCAAAACGAGCATGTTGCGACGATGGTGGGGCCTTTCCTTGCTAGTAAGAGACATTTAGTAAGTCTTAGGAAATCTGGAAGGATTATTTTCACCTATCAAAATACCATTCGCAAAGCAGTACTTTTATAACTTGAGAATATCCCAAGTCCTGAGGACAATCTGAATGTTCTTAAGATACGGAAACAAGGTCTTTCTCAGTAAGAGAAGTGGAATAGGAAATGTAAGCTATACTTCTCTGAATGGCCAAGTGCCTTCTTGGAGGGGAGCGTGAACACCTACTCAAGGCTGTGGGAGGTGCGTAGCCAGAATGAATCTTCTTTCATTCAACTTCGGATGACCATTTTCCATCTTCTTTCTTCAGGAGAACCCATAAGTAGTGAGCACTTTCACCGAGCTGTCAATGTGAATGATGAAGATTTGCTGGTTCGAATACTTCAAGGAGGGTGAGAGAGCCCTGCCTTAAAGTTTAAAAATTTTTAACGCCCAGCAAGTGCATGGAATTGCACTTATTTTATTTCCCCCCAATTTTCCATGCCTTTGAAATTGCTCCAAAATAGATCTCCAGTGACTGGTGTGAGTCCAGCATAGTCAACAAAGATGACCTTTTAGCCCTGTGTAAATGCTATATTTTATAATTATCTAATGAAAACTGAAAATGACAATTAGAAGTCTGGGTATCCTATTCCCAGAAATAATTTCTGACTCTTGTTTATACGCCATAGCGTTTAGGCAAATTTCACCCCCAGGTGCCCGCAGCTATCTAAGGAATCATTAAATCGGCGGTTTCTGATTCAAAACGTTGGTAAAACACTAGAAGAACAGTAGCAAATACATTTGCTGCCGTGGGATATTTGAAGCTGCCTCCTAATGCAAAGTAAACGATGTTACTTAGATCCTTCTTGACTCAGTAGTTTTGAGTAGCTTAGAAGATCAGTCATTTTGCGAATAGGGCTCATAAGTTGGAGGAGAGAAGGATCCTACAAAAAGCCAGCGCTTCTAAGCTGGTATTTAAGAGCTCTGCTTTCTTCCTCCAGTTGCATCAAGGGAGAAATGCAGGCCTCCCCCAGTCCAGGCTCACGGCGGAGCGGAGTGTCTACACTCCTGTGTCCTCTGCTCTAGAAGGGGGTGGGGCTCGTCCCAGTGTTTTATCTGCTCGCATCATGGTTTTGAGTTGAAGGGAGTGCCTGTTTTAAGCGAAACTACAGCAGTTTCTCTCCTTGTGAATTTGGATCCTTGAAAAATATTAGGCAGGGCCGTTTAAGACAACAGAAACTTAATGGCCCAGAAGAAATTGGAATTTTCGGGAAAATGAATCATTTTAGCCACCTGTGTCCTGCAAGAGACCTCAGCTGTGAATCTACGGGGAGCCATGCCGAGCATGTTAATCTCTTTTCTCTGTGTTTTTCCCCAAGAAATGTTAAGGTTGATGTTCCCAATAAGTTTGGCTTTACTGCTCTGATGGTCGCTGCCCAGAAAGGCTACACCAGGTAGGCCTCCTCCTTTCTTATCTCTAAGTGGCTGACCCTTCCACTTCGCCCAGAGGCTCTGCTCAGAGCACGGATGGGAGGGGAAAAGATGTGTGTGCAGGAGGCCCCTTCTTCTCGCTTTCCAAAACCGTACCACGTACAGGCTGCACAAAAACTCGGCTGTTTGAATCCTGAAGTTCTATACCATGCGGCAGAGAATGTAAAAATATATAATCCTATGGTGAGGAAGAGAGGTAGCCACTTAATTATATTTTGCAATATATTTTATATGTCCCATAAATAAAATATATTTAAAATATAAATATTTTATATTTAAAAAGCTGGGAAGGATATTCTGGAAAACAAACTTCCCTGAGAGGTTGCTAAGATATAATTTTCAGGGATATTATTATCTCTATGCCACAAAGAAGCATACACACTAATGGCTTATTTTACAATCATATTTAATACTAAAGTGCCATTTTGAAAAAAAGATGTATATCTTATTAAATGCTGCCATTTGGAAATATATTAAAATGGTCATTAAGGTGACAGTGAATTAGCTCGACAGAACAATGTGTTTTGTGTGGTATATTTTGTTTTCAATGAATAATTCATGTGAGGGAGAAGGGCCCCCCCCTTTTTTTGATGTTGAAGAGGTAGTTTTCTGGTTTAATAATGTCCTGTCTTTGAAGCCAGCTGCCCTCTGAAGGCAGAAAAGAAAGTGTGGAGATGTGTCTTCAATATGGTGCTGTGCATCATTCCCGCATTATTGTGGGTTCCTACCCCTCAAAGCTGTGTATCCAAGTTCCCTTCCAATTTGTTTCCTTCAGGCTTGTGAAAATCCTCATCTCTAATGGCACGGATGTGAATATGAAGAACGGAAGTGGCAAGGACAGGTGGGTGGTGGGACATGCTCCAAAATGTTCCCAGACTTCGGTTACCAGACTTGGGCCCAGATGGTTTTTGATTTAATCCAAATATTTGCGGCAGCTTCTTTTGACAGGACTGTATCCCAAAGGAAAGATGTCGATGAACAAAGCCTTGCTTATTCATTTGTTCACTTATTCCTTCATTCCACAGGAATGAAGTGGGCTCTACTTTCTACAGCATCCACTTGCCCTAGCTCAGTGCCCAGCACACGCTAGGTGCTCTGTGACGGGTAGCCATCACCAGCGCTGCGCTGGGCATTGGGCTGTGTCTGTGAGACTTGGGGCCCCCGCCAGGGCTCTCCTTACACTTGGCCGAACTCTCTTAACTAAGACTCGTAGGTGTTCCCAAAGAAGCACGTAACAGTCACAGTCAAAGCTACGACCCCAAGATCTTCCCTGCAGTGAAAGCATGGAGTGCAGCACAGGAGAAATTGACAAAAAGAGCATGATACTTGGAAACCTATATTCAGACAGATGAAGGAATGCTCTACAAAGACTTAAAAATAATCAGTATTCTAGTATTAGGTTTAATTAACTGATTCGTTCTAATCAACCAGGATTTGTTGAATGGCTACTGCATGCCAGGCTCTGTGCTTGGTGCTTGGGTAGAACAACACAGAAAATGCAGGGGTTTTGCTCCAGGAGCTTAGAATCACATGGTACATACAGCTCAAAGGTGTGCACCCTGCAAACTAGTATCTAAACAGTAGCTACAAAAACACAGGTCACCTTTGGTGGGCCACAAGGAAAGTGTACATTTCTGAGCTCAGAAAGCCTACCTGCTACAGCCTCTGAACACACACAGTGATAGATTTTAAATAAGATTACAAAAAATCATTTAAAAGTTTGAGGCGTCTGGGTGGCTCAGTCGGTTAAGTGTCTGCCTTCGGCTCAGGTCATGATCCCAGGGTCCTGGGATGAAGCCACGAGCGTGTTGGGGCTCCCCACTTGTGCTCTCACTCTCAAATAAATAAATAACAACCTTAAAAAAAATCATTTAACAATTTAAAAGGGAGTTTTCCATGTAACTCTTAGGTTAATTTGGAGTTAAGCCATCAACTCAAGAAGTTTGAAAAAGAATAATACCAACTTAAAAAGGACAAAGAAAATAACCTTGAGGGGTAGGAAAGAGGAAAGAATTAAAAGAAATTGATTAGAAAATAGGAAGATTGTTGAAACATATAAGAACAAAAGATGTAAGAGCTGCTTAAAAAAAAAAGCTTATACAATAAAATGGACCAATTGCTTATAAATCTAAGAAGAAAAAATCAGAATTTAGAAATGCTACATGGCTGTGGCTATAGAGAAAATCTTTTGGAAATTTAAGAAGAAAAAAATAGACTTTTGGAAGGGTACATAACAGTGGTGATAAGGAAATCTAAATGTAAAAAGAAAATGGTGTGCTGCGTCTACGCTAATAGATGTGATAATTTCATTGAAATTATCTTTTCGATGGTATTTTTTCTGAGGAAATGTAAATCTTCACAAAAAGACACAAAATCTAAAACAACCAATATCCATGCAAGAAGTTAGAAAACTTATTAAGGGATTATCTATGAAACAGACTGTGGCTTAACTGTTGTGCCCATGAGTTTGTGAGGATTGTAGGTTAGGATTGTAGATAACTTATTTAACAGAGGGATAGTTGGAATATCCCAGAGGATAACCTTACTGCTGAAGTCTGAGACAGAAAGAAATCTCTTCATATGTTTATATGCGTACAGATATTTATGTCTCTTCCATCCTAACTCGGAGGATCATGCAGGACGGTAAGGATGTCTAGACTAGGAAATTTCTTAATGCTTCCCATTAGTAGACCAAAGGGGAAAACCTCTGTATGTGTAGATGCAAAACAAAAATTGGGTGAACTCAGCACCTTTTATTAGTTAAAATATCTTACTCTTTTAAAGTACAGGATGCTTTCAGTCCTGGTAACAGTGTCTGGTGCATAGGAGGACTAACCTCTGCTGATGGAGTGAATCCTTTGATTGCATCCTAAAAGCTTGTTTATCATTTCAGACGATCAGCCAGTATCATTCCTAGTATTGACAGATTCCTTTTAAAAGTTAGTAGTGAAGTCCATAGGAGTGGTTGAGAACCAGATAGTTCGATGTCAAATCCAGATTCCCCTGTGGTCAGGGTGTATGACCTTGGGCAGGTCACTTAACCTCTGTGGGCCTCAATTTCCCCATCTACAAGATAGGGATAAGAGAAGTACTTGTAGAATTGTGAATGTTTAATGAGTTAATACAAGAAAAGTGAGTAAAACAGTGCCTGGCATATGGTAACTCCACATTATATTTTGTTATTTCATGATTGGTATTTTGGAGTGCTGGTCAACCTGGTGAGAGATGAAATGGGAGTAAGAGGCATGGCTCCTTTCTCACAGTGCCCAAGTGAATCAGCTTTCAAATACTTGGACTTAATAAGGAGGTTTAGTAAAGTGGCTAGCTACTATTTAACAAAAAAATTTTTTTTTCCTTTGAGGGAAATAGAATAAATAATATCTAACAGAAATGAGAAATTTTGTATTAAAAAACCTATAAAAATTAGGTTAAAAGATTTAAAGGTTTAAAAGGGACCTATACCATATGCCAGAATGGCAAGATCGAAGGCTGTAAAATTTTCAGTTTTTCCTAAATGAATATACAGATCCAGCATAGCCTCAAATGGAATTATTCTTGGGAGCCTGTCAAAATGGTTTTGTAATTTACCTGGAAGAACAAATGGATGACACCAGCTATTAACTTTGTTGAAGAGAAATGTGGAAAGACTTTTGACAGTTATTAAAATGCCTTATAAACTTATAGGAATCAATGTAGTATGAGATCGGTACAAATAATTGAAAAAAAGATGTATAGAATGAACTAGAAATAGTTCTTCATGTACGTCAGAACTTAGTACGTGATGATGGGAGCAACACAAACTAATGAGGGAGATGTTAGAAAAGGTTATATGAAGAAAAAAAGTTAAATTCTGGTCTTCTATAGCATGCATCAAAATAAACTCCAGATGATTTAAGAATTAAATGTAAAAGAACCATAGAAACCACAGCATATGTCTATCTGATCTTATAATGAGAAAGGCAAAATCATTGAAATAAATCACTAAGGAGAAGATTAGAAGTACATAACACTTTTTTTTTTTTTTAAGATTTTATTTATTTATTTGACAGAGAAAGAGAGAGCACAAGTAGGCAGAGTGGCAGGCAGAGGGAGAGGGAGAGGCAGGCTCTCTGCTGAGCAGGGAGCCAGATGTGGGGCTCGATCCCAGGACCCCAGGATCATGACCTGAGCCGAAGGCAGCCGCTTAACCAACTGAGCCACCCAGGCGCCCCGTACATAACACATTTTTAAAAATTAATTACAAAGTTAAGGGTAGTCTGGGGAGAGATTTGCAAATATAGACAAATGACTGGCATATTTAATATAGAGAAGATACACATACCTACCCCCCCAAGATACACAGTAGAAAAGAACAGTTTACACAGACAATTCATAGCAGAATAAATTAAAAATTTAATATGCAAAAGTGCTAGTAGTAAAAAATTAAAACCTGACTGTCCTATTGTTAATTAAAAGATGATAGTAGTGTTGGTTTAGGTGAGTAAAATGGACACTTTTAGGTGCAATCGATAAAATTGTAAATTGACATAACCTCTCTAGAAAGCAGTGCATCTAAAGGGAGCCTTAAACATTTGCATTAAGCATCTGGCAATATGCATCAGAAGCAAGCACCTCAAACCCTGGGCAGGTGAAGGGCCATGTTTGTCTCTACCAGGAGTTTCCAAGAAATGAAGGCCTACGTAAGGATACAGAGATGTGGACATCGGGTTCCACTCCAGCTCAGCTCAGGTTTGGGCCTCAGAGCTGGACATTCTATTTATCACTCAGAGAGCTTTGTAGAATTTCCCTACTGGAAAGACTTCCTTCGCTGCCCCCGTCACCCACCCCACTCAACTCTTTATTTTGAAAAGTTCAAACATTTAGAAAAGTTGAAAGAATAGTACAGTATATTTTTATATTCTCACCACTTAGGTTTGGCAGCTGTTGACATTTTGCCCTATTTGCTTCTCTTTCTACATTTTTATTAGCTTTTTTCTCCCTACTTACCCATTTCAAGGTTAATAGGCATCATATTCCTCAATATTTCATTCAATATTTCAGTATGTTATCTTCTAAAAGCAGGGACGTTGACCTGCATAACCGCCCTATCATCGTCACACCTAAGACACTTCACACTAATTTCCTGACATCATTGATGCCCTGGTTGTGCAAGTCTCCCCACTTGTCCTCCAGAAGGTCTACATGGCTCTATTTGGGGGGATGGGGACAAGACCATGATCCAACTAAGGCTCACACATTGCCTCTGGTGGTTCTGTTTAATCTCTTTTATTCTAGCCTGGTCCTCCATCCATTATTTTGGTTTAAATATTTTTTCCTCCCAGCATTGACTTTTTGAGGAGACCAGACCAATTATCCTATAGAATGCCCTATGTTCTTGAGTTGCCTAATTGTCTCCTAGTTGTGGAGGCGGTGCTTAACTTGTTCATTCGTCCCTTTATTGCCAATAAAGTTACAATTAGGTTTAAAGGCTTGATTTGAAGCAGGTTAACATTTTTAGCAAGAACACTTATGAGCTGGTGTTGTGGCTCTAGGCTGGATCCATCAGGAATGCATGCTGTCCCACAGTTGGTGATTCTAGGTTTGATCATTTGGTTAGAGTGTGGCTGCTAAATCTCTCCTTCGTAAAGATATAGTTTCCCACTGAAATTAGCAAATAACCTATGGGGGTAATCATGGTGTGAATATTCTGTTCTCCATTAACCTTTTACCCAATGATTTTAGTATCCACTGATGGTCCTTGCCCAGATCAATTATTTAATTGGGAACTACAAAAGTGTGATTTTCTAATTCCATAATTTCTTCCATATTGATGAACTGGCAGGCTTGGGTGAAAAGGGCTTTCCCTCATCAGTGGAGGATGGACTACCTTTTATTCTATAAAGGCAGGGAAATGTTTAATTAGTTTCTTTACATGCTAATATTTAGAGTATGGAATTGGCTTAATAGCCATCTATCGTAATGTCAAATGAGTATTTTTCTCCCCTCTATCTTTTTAGAATATCTTCACAGGCTCGTGGATGTTTTTAAATCCAATATTTTACTCAATTCACAGTGATCCCCTTTTTTAACTGAGATAAATTCACACACTCCTTTAAAACTTGGCACTTAAAGAATAAATTAACAATGCTATATAACTGCTTCTGTGGTCGAATTCCAGAACATTCTTAATCTGCCCAGGAAGAAGCCCTGTGCTCACCGGCGGGCATGCTCACCGGCGGGCACTTGCCGTTTCTTCTCTCCCAGCCCCTGGAACCCACTAACCTGCCAGTTCTGTCCCCGTCGATTTGCCTCCCCTGGGCATTTCGCGTAAACAGAATCCTACAATATATAGCCTTTTGTGTCCAGCTTCTTTTAGTTAGCGTAATGTCTTAAGGTTCATTCATGTAGTGGCATAATATCAATATTTCTTTTTCCTTTTTATGGCCAAAGAATATTCTGTTGTACGGATATGCCACATTTTGTTTATCCGTCTATGAGCTGATGGACACGACATTTCATATGAATAATTTTCATGGCTTTTCTACTCACATTAGGATTTCTAGGTTTAAACCAGGCAGAGTAAAACAGGGACCTGAGTTTGGCGGCTGTACTTAGAGCTATTGCTGCTTCCTCCCTATGTTGCAGTCTGATGCTTGCATGCTACGCGGGACACCTAGATGTTGTGAAATATCTCCGAAGACACGGCGCTTCCTGGGAGACCAGAGACCTAGGAGGCTGCACGGCTCTGCACTGGGCTGCAGATGGAGGCCACTGCAATGTGATTGAGTGGATGATAAAAGATGGCTGTGAGGTACGGGATCTTCCTTCTCAGCCACACGTGTCATTAAGACCTTGCAGTGCCGTTCCACAGGGTGTAGGAGAAGCAGAGCCTTATGTGTGTGCCTTTGATTAGCTGAACTTAGAAATGCTGCAGAAAGTTCTTTGACTTACCAGTAAGAAGGTTTCTGAAGCCCTGGGGAGAAAAGGTCATTATAGAATTGATGTGATGGTGAGGCTTCAGATCATCACGGAGGTTTGTCTTGTGTAGGAAAAAAGAAACTGCTGACTCCAGAGCTGGACCTGATGATGCTTCTACTTTGTTTATGCCTTTGCTCATTCACTCATTGTCTCTTCATTCAATCTGTCCACAAAGCTTTACTGAGCACCTGCCATGGATGGGATGCTAGCTTAAGTCCTGGAGACACAGGACGTCAAGAACTCTTAAAGCCATAGTGCTTCTTACTGCTCTTAGAATGAGACTACTTTTATTTGTGGTTTGCTTTAAAGATTAGCCATTACAAAACCTTTCCCAAGAGCAAACTGACCATATCACAAACAGAGCATATCAGCTCCTCGTGCCTTTACCTTGAAGCAGGCGTCTGGGTGCCCTTCTGGTCTCGTGTTATCAGATGGTGCAGATTTGATTTAGCAAATAGAACCGGCATTGTTTGGACTTCTGTAGCTGTTTGAAGATGAGTCAACAGAATTAGCTCAATTACAGTAACGGCTGATAACTTTGAGAACTTTAGTTCAAGACTCGAAAGAAGTTAAATAAAAATTTCAAGGCATGGAAATAAGGAATGGTAAACAAAATGCTATCTTAATTGAGATTGCCAGATGGTGTAGAGTATGGAGAAATTAAACTGATGACCTGGAAAATAAACTCAAATTGAGAAGAGTCATGTCTCCTGGAAGATGCTAGCTGATTTGTTCTAGCTTGTCTCTGAAGTGTGATTGAGGGAAAGCCTGGCTTTTAGCAATTGTGGGGTCTCACTGGTTCCCACTGCTGCCTGCAGAGGGCTGAAGAAAGGGCCCTTTGAAGGAAAAACCTCAGTGGTTAAGATAATTCCCTTTTATTACATTTCTTGTTTTTTTTTCTTTTCTTTTCGAAACATGCACAAGAGGTCGGAAGGATTAACATGTGGGACTCAGTGGTAGGACGGGGCCCCACTTGCCTTGTGTGGTGGTGAGAGCCACAGTCGTCTTGTTCGGTTTATGATGAACTCTGCTCATGCTTTGGTCCCAGTAAAAGTCTGTAGTTAAAAATGAAGGTTGACCTTTGCTGAAAGAAGGGCAGGTCTCTGCCACGAACATTTAAATACTGTAATTTTGGGGCGCCTGGGTGGCTCAGTTGGTTAAGCGACTGCCTTCGGCTCAGGTCATGATCCTGGAGTCCCTGGATCGAGTCCCGCATCGGGCTCCCTGCTCGGCAGGGAGTCTGCTTCTCCCTCTGACCCTCCCCCCTCTCATGTGCTCTCTCTCTCATTCTCTCTGTCTCAAATAAATAAATAAAATCTTAAAAAAAAAATAAATAAATAAATAAATAAATACTGTAATTTTGGAAACATAGACTTTCTGGGCTTCAGATATGTGCCTGTGTATTTGTGGGTAGATTCTGTCTTTTTCTGCAGCCCTCCAGCTACATGGATGTTGCCACTAAAGATTTCCGTGTGGTCGGCTGGTGGCAGGTAGAGGATATCAACAGGAGTGCTTCCATGTTCTCGGCAGAGAGGCCAGCCCGTGTTTGGGTGGCAATAGTTGGGATCTGGGAGCCAAGCCGGGCATTGTGGCCACCATTCTTGAATATAATGATTTTCTACTGACAGTGACCGACTTGCATGGGGAACCGCCTCTACATTTCATGAGCACGTGACCTCAGGAGAGGCATTTGACTTCTTGGAGATGTGGCTTAATCACTTGTAGACCAGCAATAAAAGCACCTACCCCATTTAACCCTCAGACCCAAAAGAGAAAATGGGGGTGAAAGTTCACCGAAGACCGCATAAAGCACCATGTAAAACAAGGGGATGATTTTATTATTTAAACATGATGGAGTCTGCTTGCTGCTCAGAGGTTATTTGTTATTCGCATGAGAAAGAACTGCGAATCCTAATGATGTTGAGTGGATAATCTCATACATATAAATAACCTGAAACATTCCAGGGACTTTGGCAGTTTCTAGTTTGTTAGTCCATTCTGGTGTTTCACTAACATGTTTGAATCATTCTTCTGTAACAGAATTTAGGGGTGTGTGTGTGCACGCATACACACACATATATATTTATTTTGGTATCATTCTTCATGGATTGGTGAGGCCTTCACTGGAACTGGAGGAGGCAATGCTCACATATTCTAGAATGTGGCTTTTAAAATATGACCTTGAGAGCTTTCAATCACTGGATTATTGGGAAATGGCCATCTTATTACGAGTCAAATTAAGTTTGGAGAAGGTATTAGGTTGGTTAACTTCTCAGATTGGAATTTATGTAGTAAAGCTGGTTGCTTTGTGTTGATTCTACTTGTAGTTCTCCTGCTTAAAATTAATCCATATTGATAGGTATAAGGGTGTGTATATATATTACTGTCTTGTTCCAGAAGGGATTTAAAGCTGCTTACAGAGATACTTACTTATCTATCCCGTCTTTCAACCATTTTTTTTTTAAAGATTTTGTTTATTTATTTGAGAGAGAGAATGAGATAGAGCATGAGAGGGGGGAGGGTCAGAGAGAGAGGCAGACTCCCTGCTGAGCAGGGAGCCCGATGTGGGACTCGATCCCGGGACTCCAGGATCATGACCTGAGCCGAAGGCAGTCGCTTAACCAACTGAGCCACCCAGGCGCCCTCAACCATTTTTTTTTTTTTAAGATTTTATTTATTTGAGAGAGAGAGAGAGTGCACAAGCAGAGGCAGGGGCGGGGGGAGAGGAGGAGAAGCAGACTCCCCGCTGAGCAGGGATCCTGATGCAGGGCTTGATCCCAGGACCCTGGGATCATGACCTGAGCTGAAGGCAGATGCTTAACCGACTGAGCCACCCAGACGCCCCCATCTTTCAACCCTTTGAACCAAATGTAGATGAAGATGCCAGTGGGATGTCCTAGGGCCTCTCAGCACCCTATAAAGTCCTAACACAGCATCTCACTGCATGTGAATGTTACTTTAGCACAGTTCCCTGGATCCCTATTTACCAAGTCGCAATCCTTATGGGCTATCCAACTCAGGGGCATTTGCGCAAGTGAATGTTCCTTTATAAGTTTCTGATGAATATTTTTAAGTAAAAAGACACTGGACTAAGAGCAGCTCTTCCTCTGGCATAAAGGTAGACGCTGTGGACACAGGCTCAGGATGGACCCCACTCATGAGAGTCTCTGCAGTCTCTGGAAACCGGAGTACAGCCTCCGTGCTGATCGAAGCTGGAGCGGACGTGAACATGAGAGATAAAGATGGAAAGACCCCGCTCATGGTACGCCTCCCTGCAGAGCACAGCCCGGCTTTGTGTGTGGGATTAAGGTCAGAGCTGCTTCTATAATTAGGCAATTCTTGTGAATTCAGCTGTGTATGAGCCCTGGGTTTTGGCTGTCTATATATTCCCCACTGGCCTGTTAATAAAGGCATGACAATGTCACTACAATATTTTTGTTCTTTTTACAACTATTTCTTTAAGGATTACCAGCCCCAGGCCCCCAGGCCATTGTAGCATCCTAAACAGATCTGTTCAACAGAGAACGCGCTGCTTTCTTGGGCTGGCCTGGCCTAGCGTTTCTCATGTTATTGTAGTGCGGAGGAAGGCAGATTCCGCTTCCGTTTCCCTTGCCCTCAGCCTCGCTGCAGAGTGAGAGCATGTGTCTGTCCTGCGAGGCCACAGTGGTCCTGGCTGGCTCTGCCTTCTTGAGAAAGCCTCTGGGCGATTTCCGCAGGCCCACCTGCATGGGGTCCACCCTGGCCACTGGCCTCGTCCTCTGTGGGGAAGGCAGACTCGCTCACACCCCACTGTCTTTTGTTTCTTAGGTGGCCGTGTTAAATAATCACGAGGAGTTAGTCCAGTTACTTCTTGACAAAGGAGCAGATGCAAGTGTAAAAAATGAGGTAAGGAGCTCAATCTTTATCTAAAGCCTTTCCCTGGAGGAGAAGAAAGAACAGACACACACACACACATATATATGTTGTATATTATTATATACATGTAATTTTTGTTGTTTTCACTTTCAGTTCGGCAAAGGTGTCCTAGAAATGGCCAGAGTTTTTGACAGACAGGTTGGAATATTCTTTTGGATTTTTGAGGCTAATTTTATGGTACTTTAAAATAACCACAAACCTTGGATGACATTCACCTATTTTTGTTTACCTAGAATGTGGTCTCCTTATTAGAAGAAAGGAAAAGAACCCAAATGGCAAAGAAGTAGTCTGTCTGCTGACCAGGGCGCTACTGACTTTGAAAGCCCAAGAGAAACAACGGCAAAACGCGACCGTTGAGCTAGAGATGAAACTCCGCGTCTTTTGAGGTTATACATTTGATTATTTATTTAGTCGAAGATTCACAGTGAATTTTGTGACGTACAACTGTTCCCACTTTGAAATACATCTTTTTTTTTTTACCTAAGCGCGTGTGCCTGTGGGGTCGTCATTGGGTGTCTGCCGCGTGGGGATGTTTTCTTGCACTTGCGCCTTTTGGAGTTAGACACAAAACCAAATATTTATGTCCTGGAGCTGCACAGACAGACACGGATCTCCCACTTCCCGCTCCTGCCCCCGAGCTGTCCTCTGAGCCACTCTGGGACCTTGTGGAAATTCTTCCCCTCATGTGTTTTCAATTATGACCTCCCTTCCCGACTTCAGGCCTTCCAGGCCCTGCTGTCAGGCTGGTGTTCCCTTCTGGAGTGACGCTCCTGGAAGCCCAGGAGGCCACGTGAAAGGTTTTCTCCTCAGCTGTTGGGCTCACATCAAAGTAAAAAAAAAAAAAAAAAACAAACGTATTTCAAGACTCCGATTCCACTCTTTTAGAGGTGTCTGATGGAGGATCAGTCTTTCTAGAACAGACCTGTCTGAGAATGTGTTTGCATATCCTTATGCCCTGACAATGAAAGACCCAGCCTGCTGGCATGTTGACGACCGTGCCAAAGAGAAGTATATTAAAGTTAGCGTCCAGAGCAGAAGGGTTTTTGATGCTGATCACACAGTTGGAAGACAAGTAGGCATTAACCACAGCTAGGTCTGCTGGCTGGGAGCTTAGACACACGTGTGCGGGAGCTTGAACTCAGCAGATGCACGTGAACGTGAGCCAAGTGAGCGAGGAGACCACATGCATTTTGTGTCTCCAGAGAGAAGCAGGTTAACTCGGCCCGAGGAGAAGACTAGCTACCAAGGTCTGCATGGGAGTGGAATTTTCTCTGTAAGGTAAAGCCCGATTAAAAGGTAATTAAAGCTCCAAAGCTTTGGGGAAAGGGCACAGAGACAAAGCACAGTTGATTTTATTGATGTTGGCAATTCTCAGCTTTATTCTGTAGTTTCTAGAACATCCACCTCAGGAACTGGGTCTGTGGGTCATAGATTGTCCTCTCTTTACACATTTCATGAGTGTTTTACCTTTTGTACGAATGCATATTCCTTTAAATTTGCTTGATTAACTTTTTAAATCTCTCTCCAAATCGGAGTGTAGTCACAACGTCTCACAGCCCTTTTCCCCCCACGATCAATGTTGACCTTCATCTTCAGTTCATTTCTCAGTCTGTTGTAGATCCTGTTCACGAGCCCCATCTGTGGCAAGAGCACATGCCCCTTCTCATTGACAAAATCCTGGAGACGTCCTCCCATCCTCCTGACAGAAGCCTTGGCCATACAATGGGATGACTTTGGTCAATGAAATGGTAATGGAAATGGCTCCTGCCCTTCTGGGCGGAAGTTTTACGAATCCCCACATCTCACTTCCTTCTGCCACAAGACCAGCTGTGACTCAGGAGCAGGTACTCCATCAGCCCAGGGCCCCAAGGAAGAGCCAGAGTTAGAGTTTACCCCCGGATGTGAGTAAGAAATAATCCTCTTGTGGTTTGCTATTGCAGTGCAATTTAGCCAAAAATGACTGCCTATAAGATCTTGCCATGGGTGAGTTCAATTTTCCACAAATGATGTTCGCATCTCTCGAGTCCTGTGGTTTCCGGCCTTCTTCAGATCTTTAAAAACTCAGGAATAGATACTGAGTTTTCTCAAATGTCTTTTCAGTGTCCCTGGTAATCCTAATATGGCATATTTCCTGAAAATCTGTCAATTCGGTGACTTGAATAAGTAGATTTAAAAATATTGAACCATCCTTATATTCCTGAGACCTCTCACTGATTTACAGTGGACTGTTGGATTCTAGATGTTCCTATGCTTTGTGTATGTGCTTTTCATCTTTTTCCTTAGTGAGATTAGTGATTTGACTTGTGTTTTAATTTCCCCAAAGACACAACCTATGGTTTGTTGTACCATTTGGAATTTGAGTTTTACTTTGTGGCTTAATATATAAAATTATATATAATAGGTATACTTATATAAAATAGTTATCTATACAGTTATATATAATAGTTATATATATAGTTTAGTTTTATATATAGTTTGACATATAGTCTGTGTATATAGCTTTCTTTTTCAGAGGCACTTTGAAAGAAGGCATATTCTGTATGTTTGAAGTATCTCAATTTGATACATATCCATTTTGATTATTTTTTTTATTATGTTCATTTAGCCAACATATAGTATGTTATTAATTGGGGTCTTCTAGGTACTTGTTTTCTGCCTACTTGCTTTGATATGGGTAGAAGGTAGTAAGAATAAAGACCCCTTGTTACCATTCTGTATATCTATTTTTCTTTGTATTTTCTGTAGTTCTTTATGAAATTGGATTGTTTTTCAAAAATCTAAAAATTTCTACTACACTCAGATTTTCATTCTGGAGAAATCTGATGTCCATGTTTCTACCCCGCATGTTTTTTGAATTTCTCTTTTGTAAATAAGGTGAGTTTTCCCAAAAAAAAAAAAGATTTGGATAGGTTATACATTTACATTGTTCAAAACAAGTATCTGGTCCCCCTTCCCTGACTCCTCCCCACCCCCCCGCGCATGTTAAGAGACACCTTCTTTCTTGTGCCATCATCTGACTGGTTTGTGTGGACTGACAGCACCTGACCCCTGACCACCACTCTTTTTAGTTTCTTATGGACTGTTCCAGATCTTCCCTGTGCCCCTAGAAATGGGTGAGAATACAGATAAGGGGTTTTCCTTTCCCCATTTTTGTGACATTGTCAGTAATGAACGAGACACGTCTTTATATTTACCTGGATACCATTTATTGGATATAATATTCTTTTCTTAACAATGGCTTTCTCTACGGAAATAGCAGGTTGTTACCTGTAGAACCCCAATATGAGAAATGTGTACAAAAGCAACAGACTGTAACGTGAAAGGTATGTGGAAAAAAAAACAACTTAGCCGACTGAAGCATTATAAACGGACGAAGCACGATGAACTTAAGGAACTGGTCTATTTCGTAGCTGTAAGTGTGCTGTGCTGAGTGGCCTGCAGCTTAGTGTTCAAGAGTTTTACTTAACAGTTGCCAGACACGCTCAAACCATGGGTCTTCCCCACAACCTCCCAATTCAACCTGATAGAAGGTCTGCCATTCCTCGTCTTGCCTTGGACTCTTAGAGGATTTTCTGTCTTTCCAATTTGATACTTTTTTTTTCTATCATTGCCCTACTTACATGCTTGCTTATAGGCCATGAACTTGGATGTCATTCTGCTTCTTTGTGAAACTGAAAAAATCACAAGCTATTTATTATTTTGTCTGGATTTAAACTGCGCTTAAATTGAGGACTGAATAAATTATTTTCTGGAAGGAAACTCACGGGGAGCGTAAGACAGGTTTTTTGCTGATGATGTGGAAAATCAGGATGGGTTCCAGACTATTCGACTATTTGACCTGGAAGAGCTGAAGCTCACTGAGAATTCCTTTCACTGTGTGGTAAATCTCCAGGCTATCACTACCCATTATTGAATGTTATAACAATTTTATATGCAGTATTTTGTCTCCTAGTTTTTCTCCTATGCAACAGGCTCTTAGGGCTGGACTGTCAGCTGCTAGTGCTGTCCCAAGTGTAAGGAGGGGATTTCCATCCGTGTGTAGGTAAATGGCTTCTGGAAGCATCCTCACTGCACAGAAATGGTTCTTAGCCTGGGGCTCACTGATCTTTCCTGGTGTGTAACTTGTATCACTATCCGAGTTTCCAAATAGGTTTTCGAGGAAGAGATGTCAACAGAAACTGTAGAGTGAGTCAAGAGAATTGTGCCATCGGAGATTAACTGATTTTCTGGGGGTAGGGGTGATGTGCCTGTGGGAAGCGCTCTGCTGGATTCAAAGCTGGGGCGTCGCTGGTGGGCTTGTTCTGAGCTGCCACTCTGGAGAAGGGTGGGCTTTGTGCGTCCAGTGGCTGGGCTGGTGGGGTAGCCACACCCTGCCCCAGCCCCTACTCGGGCTGACCTACAGGAGCTCTGAAGGCAGAGATTTGTCACACGGAGGGGCATCAGCACTAGGTTTGGTGTGGAAAAGGGACCGGCCTCTGGGTGCTAAGAGGCAGACGTACTAGCCTCAGCTGCTTGTGTCCGACGTGTGTATGTTCCTGAGTCATGGGGGAAGTGACTGTAGCAGCCTGGGGCAGGCCTCTGGGGTGGTGGGGAGGACAAAAGATGGCAGCTGCAGTGTCTCCCACCAGTCAGCCATAGCGTGTGAAGTCCCATCTGGGGGTCAGCACGGCACCGTGAGACTTCTGGGGAGGGTTGGTATCCTGTTTATCTGGGTCACTTGTGGTTAGCTGGGGTCCTACTGATGGCAGGGAGGAAGGAGCTCCAGAGCGAGTCTGCCCTGGGCTTGCTGCTTCCAGAACACCGAAGGGAGCCCTCCGTTGCAGAAGTTCTCAATGAAATCAGCCTCATGAGGAAAGACTGCCAAGGGGTCAGGTTTCGTGAGAAAGATCCAGCTCAGCTGCCCAGGCATCTTGCCCTTTTAGTTGTCAGGGTCGTATTGGCTCAGAATGCTTAGTAAACATCAACTGAGAGATGGCAGGAAGGTGCTCGGGCGTTCTAGCTGGCCCAGCACCAGGCTCTCTGCAGCACCAGGGGAGATCACAGGCTCCTAAGAGCAGCTTCACATGGATCAGAGTTTTTGCTGTTTCTCTTTGAGGGGATACAGCGATTGTGTTGTATTGATTTGCGGGAGAACAATGGCCTATGGTTTCAGCCTGAGAATTCGTAATAAAGTTAAGAAGGCATAAAAAATGTCTCCTCTGAGACCAGTCAGGAGTATTTATGCTCATGTAGTTTAATTTGTTGCTTTTGTGGTTTCTGTGATGTCATCCCACATGTGTAAGCTGGAAAAATTCACACTGGGAAGTGTAACCTCTGTATGCATATTTGGACAATGGAAAATGTTATGCATTGTTTCTCTTGGTTGCTACACATCTGATTCCATGTGTCAGGAAAACAAACTGTTACCAAAAAATTCAGGAGATAAACTTTTAAAGAGCATGCCTGGAAAATTAGCCCTATACTTCCCAGTAAGTGGGGTCATGTAACCTACAACTATAACAAGACAGGGGGAAGAAAAAAGTGACTACCCTCAGGGCCTATTTTGGGTCTAGACATGTTAAATTTCTCAGTGATGGCCTTATTAACTCAAACCAACCCTTATGCACGCCTATAGAACCTTTAAAAATATTAAAAATAGACTGCCATGGAAATATAAGTATTGATTTTTTTGTTTTCACATCTATAACGATATAAAAAGGGAGAGGTACACCTCCCCCCCCCAAAAAAAAACCCTGGCTCTTTTCCTAAGTTATATTAAAATGGAGCTTATTGCTAAAATGCTTCATTTGATAGGTTCTGCATCTTGGAAGTATTGTTCCTTTAATATCTGCATATTGGTCAGGGGATGTTAGGCTTAAACATGTTCTTATCCAGAAATAACTTGCAAGGCTCTGTAAATGCAATCTGTACTGTAGAGATAGGAATGTGTCATCCACTGCAGCCCCTAAATGGCCATTGATGACATGGTGTAAGATCACAGCGTTACCCTTTTTTAATACCAAAATATTCCTGGTTCTCTGAAATGGAAGCACAGGAATTCTAGCTAAGGATTTAAAAAAAAAAAAAAAAAGACAAAAGACAAACTTCACATCCTCTTCCTCACAATAGGAGGAGGGGCTAAAATGACAGATCTAAAGATCTGGGCATCTGTAAAGATAATACCCACATAAATGCACCATAAAAATTCTGTAAACGTTTCAACAGCATGTGTTTTGGCCTTGATACAGTTCCCAAATGTACTCTCAGTTACAGTAATTCTGTAGGTATTCAACAACAGTAATACTTTCTAACATGGCTTTGCCTTTTCAAGAAGTTAATAATTGTATGATGGAATGTAGTAGAACTGGGCTCCCTTTTGTGTGTTTGTGACATGGATTTATTTAGTTTATCTGCGATCATGAATACTATGTTGCCTAGATACAGTGGAGGACACCGGGAGAGTTCAATGCAGTCTTGTTTTCCGGAAGGCAAACCGATTCTTGGTATATTTTGTGTCCGCTTCAAGGCATTGGAAAACCGTGGAAATGACCCCAGCTGAAGTCTTTATCATAAAACACTCAGTGAATTACGGAACTGTTGTCAACTGCCTTCTAATGTGAAAACGGCTCCCCAGTCAGACATTGGAAGAGTAAAAGGTTGAAGGGGCTGCTACCCAGGACCGCATTTCATGAATGTTTAGGATTAGGAAATTGATCTCCTTATCACATTCTGCGACGCTCAACAGGTAGGTTGTGAGGGTTTAAAAAAAGGATTCAGACCTTATGCTAAAAGTATCTCTCAGAGATTCCCACAGCCAAGCTGGGAACATAGAACGCCCCCTAAATAACTGACTAGTAACTTGGATGGCAGACTCCGCCTGCCACACGGGGTTCCATTTGGTTGTAGTTTCTGTGGGCATAGGGAGTCTGCCTAATTTTTATCTACAGCATTGATTCACTAGATCTGGTTACTGGTTCACATCTGAAAATAGTTATGGTCTCATGGAAAGCCGCCTCTGTCTGTCTGAACGCAGAATCCTTGTACTGTAATTTGCTCAGCTCCAAACAGTACAGCGGGCCGGAGGTTTGCAGTGCCTGGGCAGTAGCCTGCTTGTACAAACGCCCCCCTTCCCCATCTAAATAAGGTGCCGAAGCCAGCATGGTGGGAAGGGCAGTGTTTCTGTAAAGCAACGGTCTTGGCCTGCTCTTCAAATGTGCTCACAGCCTGCGAGCTCAAGGTCAAGTTTCTGCCCTGGTGTGGCCACACCTTAAAATTCCTTTCTGCTACTCAGGTTCTCTCCAGACCGTCCTGGTCAGAAGCCAGAGCCTGCCTTCCTATCCTGGAGCTTTAAGGCGTGGCTGCTGGTGGGCTGAGGCCCGGGCTCACAGAAAGCCCAGCCCAGCCCAGCCTGGACTTGAAGCCCCTGGCTCTGGGCTGAGATCAGGGGTTCCAGAGAATCACTCAAGGTTCTACCTGGGGTCTCCTGAGCTGGGTCTGCGCCATAACCACAGCCGTGGATAGTTGGGGAACCGTTCTGCCAATAAAGCCTCGATCAAAAAGTCAACCTCCTGTCCAGAATCCCATAAAGCAAGATATTTCAAGTTCACTAACTACTGAAAGCACACAAGCCTTCCTTCCACGGAAAACTCAGTGATGGTAAAAATGCCTCCCACAGCGCACTGCGCTGTAGCCAGCATTTCGCATAAATTAATAATTTACAAGTACCTGAGCAAGTATACAGAGCACCATAGCACAGCACCAGCGGCAGTAGCTCAAAGTTCGGAGAATAATGGTGTTTTAAACATTAAAAAAAAAATCCTAAAAGTTGGTACAAAAAACGAACTCCAACTGGAGTTGAACGATAGTGCAAACTTCTGTCTTCACTGTCGAAAAAAAGGTGTCGACTTGCTTCTCACTTGGTGTAGGCGGCGTGGGGGGGTCTGGGCGCTTGATGGGGGTGTTTAGGAGCGGGTCTGCGGCAAGAGAAAACAAAACTGTAACAAAGGTGTAGGCGGAGCCCCTGAAAGCGGCTTCTGCGGGTGCAGACGTCTGCGGTCGGGGTCCTTCCCCGCCCTTGGCTGAGCCTTCAGGATCAGCCCCCACCCCCGGTGCTGAGGGCCGGAGACGGCTCTGGCATGTGGCAGGGTTGCGGGTCCCCTCGGGGAGACTGCTGGTGGCCTATGCCCCTGGCCACGAGAGGAACCCTCGCCAGAGCCCCACCTCCTCTCCACGAGCTGACTCTAGAACCGTGCCCACTCACTAGAAAAAATGGGAGCCACGTAGGTCATCGAACCTTTTCTAGGAGCCACGTGAGAAAAAGCAAAACCTAGAGGAGACACATTTTAGTGAAGAGTTTCACTGAACTCCGCACACGCATCGTAGCTGTACGTGTCCGTGGGGCTGTCATCAACGGGAAAAGCCCCCGAGCGACTTGGCATGTGGGGCCCTAAGTGGTCCCCATCCCGCGTGCGTCTACACTGACGGGGTGTGTCGTTTCGGCAACCGGATCAGCCCGGGCACGTCTGGGGAGCAGAGCCGGGGCACGTGGGATCCCTCAAAAACGAATTCTTCTCCTTCGAGAGCAAGACCAACACCAGCTCGCACCGGAGTCAGCGGCCGGCAGAGGGGACGACGGGCCACGGTTTGATGGCATTTAAAAAGAGCGCCTTCCCCTCGTGTCCATGTAAAGCAGTGCTTTTTCTTTTGAACAAGAAAAGTAACTTTAAGACCGGCATACAAACCACAGTGAAATAATTAGGATGCTCTGCAATCTTTCTGTATTTATGCAGTCGGGAATGAAACCACTGTTCTGCCCCCTTGACCCGTGTTATCTCTGGGATTTATGAGGCTGCTCGCTCTCTCACAGGCCAAACATTTTTCCCCAAAGCTGTAATGACATCACGAATGTGTGTCTTCCCCGCTGGAGACACTGAATTACTGAGCCCAGGGCCTGGCCAACAGCCTACCTTTGGTTCTTTCGAGCTCCTACAGCAAGCTTCCTGCCAAGGGGGTATGCGTGTCAGTAGGGTGTTTTGGCTGCGGGTGTAACCTACCCATTGTGGGGAGCGAGGGGGGCCAACCTGTAGCCTTTGTCTGTTTCCAGGGTGTAAATCCTCCGGCTGTGTGAGCCGGCCACCTTCCATGGCATTTCCGCCATACAGAAATAGCCGTGTGTAACCTCCAGAACATAGGTAACGGTAAAAGGTAAAAAAGGGGTTTTGAGGCTTTTATGTTTTTCACATAACTTGTCTCAGTAGGCGTTTATGTAATAGTGGCTCGGTTTAACACCTAGCTTGCAAAATTCCTGGAAATTGAATGGCTCTTGAAAACCAGCATGGATCAGCCCTGGCCCACAGCCAGCGTGCCTCCCTGGGTCAGGAGTCTACCTTCCTCATCCTGTGGGATAGGGTAAGCGATGACCACGGCTGGGGAACAGTCTCAAAAAGGAGATTCCTTTTGTTAGTTGGATGGAGAAGCTCCCCATTGTACCAAGTGTTCAGGAACTAACTCCTCACCTCACCTCCCTCATTCATATGTGACTCCCCCCGACACACCTCACCTCCTTTCTCAGGACCCCAGGGATGGGGCAGAGTTTATGAAGGTTTCCGATGGTTTTGGAGGTATGTTCAGTCTTCACAGGATCACAGCACTTTGTAGCTGTTCGTCTTCATCTTTTTGGGGGATGGGGTTGGCCCATCTCAAGAGTCACTGCTTTCCCAGACACACGATCTAGGGCTACTTGATCCTGGTTTCTCTTGGGACACTGGGGCTCTTGCCAAGAGCCACTGGGTGATTCCAGGGATTATAGGCCTGTGACTGCCTCCTGCTAATGCTCCTGTCTGCTTCGGCAACTCTTTTATGCTGTTCCCAGGTACTGGGGTATAGGAAGCCTGGCCTTAGACTACTGGGCCCACGTCCTGACAGGGCAGGGAAAGCACAGGTCGGTGCGGCTGCCCCACACGGTTCTGGGGAGAAAGCGATGGGCTGGGCTGTTACACCGACCTGAGGGGCACCAGGTGGAGCCGCTCAGCCTCCTGCTGTCCCAAGGTCCTGGCTGAGGCTCTGGCGAGCCGGCTGGTCTTGTTCAAAGGATCTGCAGGCAGAGGCTTCTGAGGAGGGTTTGGCTTACGAGTTCCCTGCAACAAACCACAAGATTATGTGTGATCACCCATCTCTGTGAGCTGTGACCAGAACCTGACCTCAGGAGCCACCAGAGTCCCCTGCAAAGTGGTAGGAGTAAACTTTCTGAATGCATCCTCTCGCCATACAAGCTGGTTGACCTTTGTTAATCTTCTTGCCAACATTTTCTCTAACATTTAACAGGTGTCTCAATAGGCTCACATAGTTACACTCAAAGGAGGGGCTCCAGATGGCACACTGGTCACAGGTCTTGGGATACAGTGGACACTGGCATTTCTGGGCCAGTGCCACCTGGAGGATGTAAGCTTTCCTGTGTCTTTAAGCTTCCTTTCGATTTGTAAAGGCCTAAAATTGAGAGGTTGGTAAAAATCCGAATCTTCCAGAATTGTGTAACAGAATTCCTTCAACTGCGAATGAATTTGCCAACACAAGTAATCATCTTTCCTCCACCACTGTGGTGTCCATATACCCAGTGATGATCCAGATGGCTGAGTGAAATGCACCAAAATTCTTCTACCAAAGTACTTAGTTCAAAGAATCACAAACTCACATAGAAAATGACAACCAGGAAGAAAACCAAAGAACGTGTTTTGAGGGACAAGTGTAACTCTCTAAGGAAGCTAATGGAAAGGTCACATGGACCAGAGCATGAACTTGGGAGTGATTCTACACTGGGCTTTATCTAAACACCAATGCCTTGGGACTGTGCCGGTCACTTGATAGGCCTAAACCTCAATTTCTCCCTCCTTAAAATAGGAGAAAAAAGGGCCTATCTCAGAGCATTGTTATGTAGACTACATAAAATGATGCGTAGGAGGGCGCCTGAGGGACTCAGTAGGTTAAGCATTTGCCTTCGGCTCAGGTCATGATCCTGGGGTCCTGGGATCGAGTCCCGCATCGGGCTCCCTGCTCAGCTGCTACTCCCCCTGCTTGTGCTCTAATAAATAAAATCTTAAAAAAAAAAAAGCAACAAACAACAGTAAAACCACAAGTCACTTGTTTCAGGGGCCCCTCCCCCAGCTACCCTAAGAAGAGGGGGTGCAGAGTGGGACCTGTGGTGGGAAGTCAGTTAAGTGTTGACCGTGTTCTCCTCTTGCCCCATGGTGAACACAGGTGCCAAGACACTGCCTTCTCTGGTCCTTGGAGCCTAGAAGCCCTCACGAATGCAGGGCAAGTCTGTAGGAAATGGCGCCAAAACCTCAAGGAAGACAGGAGGATGTCCTAATAAGAAGATGATCTACTTCTCTGGCACAGGACACGCTATTCCATACTTCCAAGACCACTCAAGAGGATTTTGAAACACTTAACTTGAATTTCTCACAGTACTTACCCCACTAAAATTACATTTCCTCCGCAAATGGAGCTCAGTTGAAAGAATGCAAACGTGTATAATCACCATTGAACATATCTTTGTAAGCAGAGGAAGCAAGTCTGGAAACCACAGCTGTATGGAAAATATGCCAAGTTGAAACAAGGAGCAATGGGCCACTGACCAAGGGACAGACTTCAAAGAGACATTTCTATACCAGTTCTTATTAAAGGAAACAACATAGAGCAAATGCCTTAAGTAGGCATAAAGACCATCTAATGTGCCTGTGAGGCTGTGTACTGAGGATGGGCTGTTTGGATATTCAACCAGGCTCTGCACAAACACAAGGGTTACTCAGCCTCTAAGTTGTAGAGGGGGTGCTAACAGGACCTTCCTCAGGAGGTTGATGTGAGGACAGAGCTATTATCTGGAAAGCTCTCTGTGCAGGTCCTGGCTCACAGTGTCCAATGAGTATGTGTAAGCTATCCTACAGCTATTGGGGAGCGAATTTACCATCTAAAGGTACCGCAATCCTACCAACAAACTTTGGGTAATAAACTATGGGAGTAAATCAAGCTCCATTTCCTGGAAGAGGGCAGAAGACTATGAGCAAGATATTAGTGTGTGATGTAAAAATGAATGTGTGCACCTATAAAACTGAAAGGCTTTGAGGTTTAAATGATTCATTACTAAATGATACTAGTTTTGCTGCTAAGAATGAATAAGTATCTGGTCTTGGTAATAAAGATAATGTCAGGTTTTTATTGCAGTGGAGAGAAAGTGAGATCCGTGTTATAATGTATCATAATATGTTTGGATTTATCACGGAAACTCAGAGGAGATAGGTAGCTTGGCCATTCATTCTAGTTTGTTTGGGACATTCGCAATTTATGTTTATGGCCCTGTTTAATTATTAATCACCACTCTCTCAGCTATGTCCTGTTTTAAAGGATAAATTGTACGGTCACCATAGTGACCAAAGCCCAAACCATGGAAATGCTGATCGAAAGTTCTGACATCAAACCCTGGGATCCGCAAGGCACCGATCCACTGTGAAACCGGTCACACTCGCAGATGCTGCCTAGGTTGACATGTCTACTTCCTGCCAGACCCGAATGTGAAGTTAGTGAAAGATGATGCATCCTCCCTTCTCAGATATCAGGCATGGCGATGGGAAGCCTACAAACAGGTGGGAGGAAACCCTAGCTGCACAGGCCATGACCTTGCAGGAAGGGGCAAGAGTCCTACACATCCTGTCAGACATCGCTTTTCATGCTGCCTTTGTAAACCTCGGTTTCCAAGAAAAGTCCAGCCTGGACACAAAGAGTCCTTAGAATGGAGTGGAGAAAGGACTCCAGGCCAGATTGTTCATACTCAATAAATACTCCTGTAGACCGATTAAAATCAGGAATTCAGACCCCCATTTCTCTCCCTTTTCAACTTCCAGATATTGGAGGAAAATCGAGATCCACCATTACATAGAACTGTCCCATTTGTCCATGTTCTGCTCACATTTTAGCAGCAGTTGCATAGTTCCAAGTTTTTAGAGGGTTGAGAATACATTTTTAAATCCAAATAGAGTCCTCTGCCTTGACCACCACCATCAACCATTATTTACCTCTGTGTAAGCGAGAGTAAATGCGTCCTGCTTATCAGAGACCTCTCCACAGGAAGATCAGATGTTTTCACGGGAAAATGCCAGCAACGCCTCGGGTATCCCCGACGGGCCACGCAAGGCCGGGGTGCCATCAGCCTCACCATCCATACTCAGCCTCTCTCTGGCTCTGTGAGGAATACGCTTCAAGAGAACTCCAAGGATAACCAGTTCTCAGGGAAATGCGGCAATTTCTTTTTATTGTTGCTTCAGAAAAGCAGAGGTCTCGACACATCGGCTCTCTTAAAAGAACACACTAACACCTGTCTGTAAGATGACCTTGACCCTTCTTTCTGAGACTACCTGAAAACAGTACAGAAAATGCACATAAAGGAGTAATACTCTATCTTTGAGAAAAATTTACAACCCCAAACAAACATATAAAAAGGAGGCGAAGTGTCCAGCAGGCCAGGGTGAAGAAAGGTCATGAGAAGGGAGAGAATGCCTGCCATGGCCAGCCTGACAGTGGAGAGGGGAAATCCAGCCCCCCTTGCTTGAAACAGGTGTGAGGAGTAAGCAGATACCATGCTATGTCCGGGCTGAACAAGCAGCAGTGTAGACAGGCCCAGCCACCCGTGCCAGCCTGGAGCAGGGCCAGGGCCCACAGAGTCCTTGCTGGGAGCAGGGAAGGCCAGACCCCTCTTCCCTCAGAGCCTTGAGCACTGGTCTGGCCCTTCCCCCAGCTGTCTGGTGACTGGTTTTCCAGGAAGAACTGTCCACATTTAAGGAGGAGTTGGACACCCTAGGAAAAGGAAGGCAAGCGAAGAACCCACCCTGCAAAAATGTCTATCTGCAGAAATGAAAAACAGAGGCAGCAAAACTCAAATAAAACCATGAAAACCAAGGATGAAAACAGTACCGAACACAGGGCTGTGAGGGTCCTAGCTGAGGGGGATGACAAGTTCCACAGTAAAAGACCCCAGCAAAGGTGACACAACATGGTGTCACTTAAGGGATCTGAGTAAAGATAGAAGAAATACCCACATTTATTTTATAAAATCTTCCCTGAAATAAAGAGGGTCAAAATCTATGGATTAGAAGGGCACTGTTTCCCTGGTAGAAATAAATTCGACTCCTCAATAGTAAGACACAACCGATTGAAGTTACTGGACAGCAAGGAGACCAAATCATATCACTCAAAAGGGCAGGAAAAAACAGCTTCTGATTTGTCCAGGGCAGACAGAGGAAGCCCAGGTGTAAAGCAACAAAGAGCTGCAAGATGGCAAGATACACCAGGTCAACATCTCACTGCAAGAAGCAGCCTGCAGAGGTGGGTAGTACACTGAAGCTGAGAAGCCATTTGGCAAATTCGGGAAACCTAAGTTTTGGTTTTTATATCCTTTTATGGTGAGGGAGATAGGAGTCCAAGGTCAGCACCAGCCCACGTTTAATAGGAGACTATCCCCTTCCCTTCCCAACCTCTCCCCAATAAAGCCGGGCTCTACAAAGAACTATACCTCAGGTAAAAACGTTCTAGAAGCACTAGGAAACTGTAAGGAGAGTTCCCTTGGTGTTAGGCAGACCAATGTAGGAAAATAAACCTCTAACCACAAATCGCACTTGAGGACCTGAAGCTGAGATCACATCACCTCAGTGGCTCAATAAAGTCAAGCCATTTAGAGGAGTCTCAAACTAGTACTGCTTCCGGGCGCCAGGCAGAGACAAAATATATCCTCTTTGGAGGGTCACACCTTCATCCTAGATCTTAGAGAACTCCCAGATGGTTTTCTAGATAATTTTCCAGAAAAACGAGCAGCTCATAGTTCAGAATTACCAAGCACACAAAGAAGCAAGGAATTGTGAAAGAAACCTCAGGAGTAAATACCCAAGGACTTCAGATTATGGAATTACTTGAACACATTTTCTGTGTTTAAGGAAACAGAAGACAGGTCAGCATATTTGAATAATAAGGAAAATTTCTAGAAAGAAAAAGTAAATAAAACATAACTGCACCAAAAAGAATAAAATACCTAAGAATACACTTAACCAAGGAGGTGAAAGACCTGTACTCTGAAAACTATAAAACACTGATG